ATGAAATATTATGAATATATCTTTATTATCAGGCTATGTTCCTCAATCATTCAAAGTAGCAGTGATAAAACCTCTTCTTAAAAAGCACAACCTCGATCCAGAGGTTTTAGCCAACTATAGATGTTAGAGCCACAAAGTTATTATTTCGATTCATAATTTGATAAATGATTTAATGATGGAAAATGATTTATATTGCCATGGTGAATATGTTTTGATGAAATGATTGTTAATTTTATATCGTAAATATGATCTGTTTCCGTGTACCTTCCGGTGTGTATTTAAGTTGAGGACAGCCGGGGTGCTCGGAGACCTGATGAGACAGGGAGCGGAACAGTTTTTCGACCGCAAATTGCCGACAGAAATTAGTGCTGTAAAAAAAGTATAGTTTAGTTTATATAGGAAAGTATATCGCCGAAATATTGTTTTAGATTTGTTATTTTGAGACTATTTAAGTCAATACTTTTTTGTTAATAAATTACATTTTTTTGACTGAAAACCTTCGGCTGCTTATTGTTTTGGATTGCGTGTCGTCAACCCCGCTCTATAGTGGCAAGAGGAAACCTTGGATGCCATTACAAGTAGCATTTGGCGCACTGTGTAGGTAAAAGAGGATTTGAAGGTTCCTCCCATTGAGGTACATGTTAAAAAAAGAGTTTAAAAAGCTGAATATTTAAAAAAGTATAAAATATTTTGAAAAAGTTGAAAGTTTCCCATCATGTGCTGAAAAGGCTGAATATTTTGATGTTTGAATGGTTTCTGTAGCTGAAAGTAGGCTGAAGTTATTTGACGGCAAAATATTGGTTGAAATAAAAAGAAGATTAAAGAGAAACAAAAGAACTACAGTGGAATGCTGTTGCAGAGCATTCACACTAATGAAGGAACAAATAGGGGGCCACGCTAGACTCATACTGTAAGTCATCATGTGATCAAGAGAGAGCTCTCAGACCTAAGAGACTGTCTTTCTTAACCAATATCATTTAAAAGATAAAGGAAGTTTGAGTGTCTGACTTCTTAGAAATAACAAAGATGCCACACAGTACAGTGTTGTGTGATGATGATTAATAAACTGACTTTTTGCAAAAAATCATCGCTATTCAGGATTGCGACTTAAGTCGTCTGAATTATGAAAACAGTCCTTTTTATTCTACCATAATAAATTGATTTACTGTTACAAGTTGGAAAGTGTGATCCAACAGAAACAGCCAAGGCCTCACATTTTCAGCACGCATCTGTTTTTACAACTCAAATGAACCGAAAACAGCAACAACCTCCCCACAAAGAGTAGACTAAAAAAGTGCAAATCCCTTTGGACTGCAGATGAAAGAATATCAACGCAGGATGAGGAGAGACACATTGAGAAAGGCACAATATGTAAAAAAGGAAAAATAAGTGAAGTATAAAAAACGAAGGAGCACTGGAGCGCTGCTGGTGGAGCTGTGTGGTTTACTTGGCTGGGCTCTACAGCACGCTAAGATGCTTACCCTCCACATAGTCTCACAAAACAACCCCAATCACTACCATCTGAGCGCCCTCAAACTGCACATTGAGTACATACAAAACCAATCACACTTATCCCACAGTGGGTAAGAGGGGCACAGTGGGCTGGGGGATAATAGAGGGAGGAAGGCTGGTGAGAAGGAATGGCAGAGAGGGACAGGAATGGCTACATTAAGAGCGGGAATAAAGGGTGTGGTGACCTGAGGATTGAATGAAGGGCAAATGTAATAGAAGGCACATACTTTAGGACAAAAGTCATCTCTCTTTCACAAAGCAACCAAGCTCGCTTTGGGGGCCTGGACATGTTGCTGCCATAGAAAGTATCCCTCCGTAAATCTAAAATTATAACTGAGGGTGTGGAAAAATGCACCAGGCAAAGAGTTGGGTTGGTTTTGATGGTTGCCTGTTAACAATTACTAAAGCCATGACTGAATTCTCCCAAAACCAATGTTTTAAGTATAGCCTCAGAGGGTCAGCAGAGAAAAAAGGGATTATTATATAAAATAATACAGAAAGCCAGGATTGGTCAAAAATAATGAATTTATAAGCAAATGTGCTCAAACTTAGTGCAGTGACAGAATGCATTAAAGAGTAGAATTGTAAGAATGTTATATTGATCTTTAATATAACTTATCATCTTCTGACCACAAGAATATAAGGTATTTAAATAAACATAAATAGATGGAGTTAACAAATGGAAAAATGGTTTTAAGTTCTACTACAAGTTCTCAGTGTTAAATCGGCTTTTCCAATTCTGTGTCTGTACGTTAAAATGGGAACGAATCAATGGAATAAATTAACTAACTGTTCTGTACGGTTAGTGTATTTGTATCCACTCAAATTGATATCAAGACTCACAGGACAATGCTTAACGTTTTTGGCAGCTAAGGAATATAAATAGCAGGTAACTCCACTCCACTGTATAACCACAGATTGACATTTTTATATTTCCCATGTAACTAATCAAACTGACTTAACAAAGACAATTAGAAATAAGAATATTTCACAAACTACTCCAAGTCAAAGAAAGAAACATAAAGGAAGAAATATAAATACTATTTCCAGGGAGTCAGATTTAAAAAAGGATGCCACCCAAGAGAACAGAAAGATAAAACTGAAACGTTATTTTCACAAAGACGTGTGAGCAGAGAGTTCAAAAAGTGTTTTCAAACCATAAAGCTGCCACAGTAGCTCGAGGGCCAACCTGTGGTTCACCCTGTTTGAGTCATTCAAAATTAAGCTATCAAACCCATCCGTCCTCCAGGCCTCTAATATTACACTCTCATGCTTGACTTATCTGTCATCTCCCTCAAAGATCATGCCATGTTACTGCAGCACTGTGTGGTCCCCCTGCAAGGACAGGAAGGAGCGAAAAGCAGTGATTGAATTAATGACTATCTAACATGGCCTGCAGCTATGTGGCTGTACCCAGCATCATCAAAACCGGTGAGAACACTTAGATGTGGAGAGGAGAGGCAGACAGGAGGGGGTAAGGGGAAGATGTCAGGGCGAGGGCAAAATACTCTCATAATTTAAGGAGAAAAATACATGTGGCCACTAAACGTATAAGCACTAGCAGTGAAACACATGTTTTTTCACATATGCGAGCACATGCAGAAACGTACATAAACACGGTATTTAGGTGCCACTTACCACCAGACCCTCAGTCTATATAGAGGCAGCAAGAAAACAATGTTGGGTAGCAAGATCAGACAGGGCTAACAGAAAACAGGCTGAAATATGTGATGTAGGAGAGGCAGTCCAACACAACACAGACACAGACGGAAACTCAGAGACAGACCATCTCTGGCCTCAAATCATACATCTGCACTGCTCCCCCAGATGGGATGAGCCGTGGTGAATAGGTTTCCCGGCACTCTTGTCTTGTGGGGAGTGGAAGCTTATTAGGAGAAGAAGAGAAGGAGAATGAGGAGAAGCTACAGAGTTGGTCATGAGTTCATTGTATTTGTGCCCTTTGATCACTTTCATCCTGTAATGTAAGTTTGAGGAGAGTGGACCCTGGGAACCCTTTAACTCTGACTGTCAGCGGTGTACCACAGACATAAAGCTACAATAACTAAGTCTATACAATGTTTAAATGACTTTTGAACACAAGCAGTTTTAAATGTTCATTGATGAATGCGATAACCATTTGACAAGGAGTCTGAAGATAGGAAAGCACTTTCACAGAGTTTGTGTCAGTCATTGGCCTATATTAATGTTTCTCCTGCTATTTGAGAAATCAATCCACAACATACTAATGTATTAATGCACAAAACCAAACCTAAACGTTCGCGGCCTGGAATCCTTTAATACCGTGATTTTCCCCTTATATCAGTAATGGCTCTATGCAATGATGAAGTAATTACCGTAATAAAAAGATTGAAGGTACACCAACAAAAAAGCCAGGATATAACCCTAAATGTTTTCCTTGATTTGAAGGAAAAAATATATCAATGTCCTAATAATGCTAAATGCAATACACCATCACACTTACACACAAAGAGCAATATGCCCATAAAAAACACTTAAAATTGACACAAACACAACCATGCACATATGCACTCCACTTCCCTTCTCACAGGTCAAAGACCATCTGGCAAATTCAAGGTTTACTTTCAAGGCACTGCTTTAATTAGAAAGATGTTTTATTGGATGAGAAATGAATCAAAAGAATACAAACACTGGCAAAAATGTGATGGTTCCACGCTGTTTGTCATACGCCATCTGTTTGAACCTTCTCAGAGTTTAAAATTGCAGGATCTTTTTTCCCCTCTGTTCTCTCTCCCTACTCTGTGTGTTTGAGCCATGAAAAAACAGTGAGCAGGATCAACCAACATAATATAAAAGCCGATATCTCTACAGTCAATTATTTGCTTTCAAAAAATGTTTTATAGGTTCTGGGCACAAGACTAACAAATACTCAATCTAACTCATCATCATCTATGTCCCACTGCAGAGGAGACACAGAGGGCCGGGCGAAATAGAGCTTGTGTTTAAAGTAAATTAGATCAAACATTTCTTCAGCAGCGCAAAGGAATTCAAAGACAGACTCTTTATAGTTTGTTGGAGTATTTGTTAAAGGGATGATAATAACTCTGTATGTCGAGTCTGTCAAGTACTAATCAGGACATATAGAGCAAAACAGATCAGGCATGAGAAAAGAATGGAAGATTGGAGAATATACTATAACAACTAAATAGTGTTATGATCGAACTGAACAGTCGATTAAATATTCTAAATATTTCCGTGTTTTTCTCTCCTATTCAAGCTTCACCATAAGAGTTTATGTTGTCTTCAGTCTCTGTGTACCCCCACCAGGTGGGTACATATGACCTATACAAATCACAGCACGGATACATGCCTTTATCATCCGGCATCATAATTGACTGTAATACAGCTCAGCCATATAGGGCTTGGCAATAATTCAATATGATGATGTAGCAAAGTTCAATTAAATTGCATCACTATGAAATCAACCATAACCGTACTTACATATTAAAACATGCTCACATTGTATATCTTATTAACTTCAGTACACTATTAACACAGATAGAGAAAAAAGACTCCATACCCGTATCCACTGATTTGCTTTTGTTTCCACAGCATCGCCTGGATGCTCCGAGTACAGTCCCCACAGACACTGAAACAACAGCCATCTCCCCGGAGCTGCAAACAGGAAGACACCATGGACGATCTCTAGTTCTATATAAGACCCTTTACACAGATTACAAGCATTACAGTGACTCATGCTAGTAAACAGACTATCATAAGTCCGCATTCCCAAATACAGAGGGAGTTACAGTTGCTCTCACCATCAGCAGTCACACAAGGGTTCCAGCAGAGTCGGCCAAGGAACTGGCCCAGGAGAGGCAGCCTCTTCATGGTCTCTGATGTGGAGCTCTGAGGGACAAACAGAGACAACCACAGGCATGGGGATAATGAATGTAATGGTTCACATGTTCTTCATCTTGAACACTCTTACACCTTTGAGGCGCCTAGCTTCCACTAATTACTTAAAGTGGACCTATCATGCAAAATGCACTTTTGTACGTCTTTTATACATGAATATGTGTCCCCGGCGTTCCAGGGAACTCACCAAGTGTCAGAAAACACAACCCTCTCTATTTTCCTCCATACCCAAATCTCTTAAAAAGGGGCTGCAACGGATCTGGTACAGACTGATCCAGATTTGAACACTTCTATGACGTCACAGAAGTGGCGCTACGGCTATTGGGCCAACTCCACCAATCAGGAGGAGACAGCCACGGACATTGCCGTTCGAAAGCACTGGAGACGCTGTAGTACATAGGCCAGGCCTGTAGATGGTGCTGTTCTCACAGAATCAGCCCATGCAAAGACAGTGTTAAATTGAGCAAAATTAGGAATGGCTAAAATGCATGATCTGTTTGGTATTTCGAAAAATAAAAAGTATAAATATGCCTTATATAGGTATGGTCCTACACTATATTATTCAAATATAGCATGATAGGTCCACTTTAAGTAGGTTATTTCTCTGAGTGGAAGGCACATACAGTAATGGGTTTTCTTTAATCTGGTGCATAATCAGACTCAACAAAGTGAAACTAATCCAGACAAATTAAAATGACTTATTGTTTCACTGTATTATAGGAGTTTGCAACACCTCACCTGTTACTTCTTCCTAGTGTGCTTCCCACCTAGCAACCTTGTGCCACAACAACAAACATTAAAGATCACAGTTCTACTTAATGGCTGAGGAAATGAATTGAAAAACAGGCACATCCGCAGGTGCAAAGAACATTACTCATGCATCAGCTTTGCTTCCCGTATTTTGGTATATTTGGTCATTACAACTATAGTTTGAATAGGGGCTCTGTGACAGTTTAAGTATGTGTGTGTCTGTGCTTGTTTATGCCACTCAAACAACAGACGATGGGATTTATTTCACTTCACAGCCAGTTAAATTATAAAGGTTTTAAGCATTTAAGATTTTTAAGCCAGGGCCACACTGTATCTAAGAACTTGAATAGCCCTTAATCCTGACTTCTACACATTTGATTTGGGACAATATTAGATTACACTAGATTATATTTAAGGTTTGGAAATGTCCAATTATGTTAGGGACACTTATCAGCTCCAACTGATGACAAAAATGAGACTTGGTGCACAGTAACTTGAGTGTGACTGGATACCAAATACAGCACAAACAAGGACCATGTAAAAACAAGACTGGAGCTGGTTGTTTTTAGATAATTAAAACCAGATTCAAACAGAAGGTGATTACTAACACTTGCTTTCAACCCAGTTTTTACCACTGGGTTTAAAGACATTTCCCTATATTTAGTAGAGCTAAAAATAATTTGGTGTCTATTAGGGATGGGAACGATTAATCGAATATTCAAAATTATTCAGGTTTTCGAATATGAGAATATGAGTTATGAATATTTTTATTGTAATTTTCTTTCTTTTTTTGGGAGGGGTGCCTAAGTTGATTACATATGATCAAATGGAATAATTCAATGTATACGACAGTGCCATAGCTAAGTGTGTTAGGTGTGTTTTGCTCCGCTCACCGGTCCCTCACAGCGGGCAGAGCTGCAGGTGCTGATCTCTCTCTCTCGTGTCCGGTTATACTTCACTCGCGTTTATGTCCAAATCCATCAGATCTAGCTAGTTCTAGCTAATGATATGGCTGGTGCCCCTCCCTACACGCAGATCACGCAGACTCAAACCTCATCTTATGCCCAAATTCCAGCTGAGAGGGTCTTCTCTACAGCTGGCCTGATAGTGAGTCGTCTCTGCACCCACCTCTCCACTGAGTAGACATGCTCATATTCTTAAAGAAGAATGAGTATTGAATAGCTGCATTCTGTGCATAGGCCTGTTATAGGTTGTTGATCTCTGTTGTAATAGGGTTACGTTACCCTAACCCGTTATGTTGTTCGTGTATGATCCCTCTTTAATTTAAAAACCAAGTTATGTTTTAAGCATGAAAGCTGTAGGCCTATAGCTGTCAACTGTTCAAATTGTGATCACCAGTTCAATACATTTGACAAATTCCACTTGGTTTCTATACTTATTTGAACATGTATTTATTATTATTTGTTTGTTTTTTTTGTCAACAGTTTTCCCACATTTTTTTTTTTTATAGGATATGTGCATTTTGGTTAACCGTTTTTTTGGGGGTTGAATATTCGAATATACATTTGCTTTCAAATTCCCATCCCTAGTGTCTATAGTTTAAAATGAAAAATGTAGCATATTTGTCCGAATATTATTCAACTTCTTTTGTAATCTCCAGGGAAGAACACAAAAACATCATGTAAAGCTTTGGAGACTGAAAAAAGTGCCTTCAGTCTGAAAGTGGACTTTTAAAAATGTTTTGAAAACTGAATAATAGTTCAAATCCACAGGTGTACCACAGCCCTGCTGTTACTTTTCTTGGTTCGTAACAAGGGGTTGGACCCATCTTCCTTACAATATGATGACTGCAGTGGAATATCTGTATATAGAGTAGATGAAAGGGGTGATGACGTATTACTTACATTTACAAGCATTTCTGCACGTGTGCAAGAATCATGCTTATGTGACATTACCAAATGAGTTGGTATTCAATCCCATATTTAAGTAGTATATCATACATTTCACCTTTGAGCCAATTCAACTATAGAGAAAAGCTTTGATGCAGAAGAAGGCCACACTAAGACATTTATCATGAGCCAGTTGAAATCAAAGCAGTGTGCTGTGGCTCATCCGAAGATGATTTGGCTTACATCACTGCCATGTACATACAGTGGAGTTTATGGTGTTGGGTGATTGGTTTCTCATGTGGTCCTAGAGAGGGGAACAAGATGTATACTATTTTAAAATATCAACTATAGGTTTTATTGTGGGATTCAAAACATTTCCCTCCTCTTGTACTATGTCCCCTTGGGCTCATCATCCATTCAGCCACCTTGACCCTCGGATAAAATACACCTGTCACACTTCTTTTTATCACCCTTATAAGAAGAGAAAGAATTTAGCTAGTCATTTGTATCCTTTAAAAGAATACTGACTTTTAAGAAACAATTAAGTATTAGCATGAGTTAGAAAACAAAATAGATGTGGGAAAAGTTAACAAGAAAAAGTTTTAAGAGAAGAAGTCCAAAGGGATGACCCAAACATATTTAGTTTAATCGGATATTAGGCAGAGAAAGGCAGAGAATCTCCATATTTGAGAGGCTGAAAACTGAAAATTACTTTTTCTATTAATCAATTATACAATACTCGAAATTATTTTTCTGCTGAGTGACTAATGGTTTAGTTGACATATTGATGCATCTCTAGTATGCTTTGTTTTTGCTTAAGCCCCTTTCATCATAAATAATGAGAGAGCAGTAAGCAATCATGGAGAAGCCTAATGTAGCATTGAATAAAAGGAAGACTTTAAGGCAACCTAAGGCCTATAAGTTCAAAAAGAGAATCAGACAGACAAAGACATTAACTTGACTCACTCAAGTGGATGAGATCACCATTAATGGGAAGCAGAGTGGTAATAGGCCATGTAGGGTTTCTTTAAATGGACCCACAACACAACCAATGGAAAATAGCCCTCACACTCAGCTTTACTATCAATCCAACAACACATGGTAAACGTTTTGTGCAAATATAAATGTGCATTTGTCTCGGTAACGCATCTATAGAGAGGCGAAGTCCCTCCCTTTCCGGTTGAACTCATGGGACCTTATTTCAGAAAAATTATGTATTGAAGTCAATGGCGAGAGAAAACGTATCTTTCGATCCCGTTTGAATTGTGCCATGAATTACACATGATGTTTGTCAATCTTAAAAAATAATTTCCATGTCAAAAAAAGTCACAGTTTGTGGTAAAACTGTTGGAATATAAGACTATGAAAAATCCGCAACTAGAAAGACTACAAATCCCAGAGACGCGTAAGTGATGTCATAATTGTTTTCCTCCACTAAATATAAGAGATAACTAAGATAAGATAACTTTAACAAGATGCCTGTGTGTTTTGTACCAGGTTGTAATCATACCAGCAATAGAGTGGTGCAGTGACGCGTCCTAAAACCAGGAAGTAAGCTTCTTCCGGTTCCTTCCATGGATGACAGGTTTTTATATAAATGGATCAGGACAAAAATAGAGTAAATCTTTTTTCCTGAAACTTTCAGAATCTCTTTCCACAGAGGGGACACATGTTTATGTATAAAGGACATGAAAAAGTGGATTTTGCATAATAGGTGACGATTAAAACTTCAATTCCCCACACCTCTTATTTTGGGCAGCAGGATTCCTTTGAAGAGTGGTGCAATACTGCGGTAGTGGTGTAGAAACCATGGTTAAAATGTAGGGGAATTCTAGGTGGGTTTAGTATGGTTTGGCAAATGAACAATCACATATAGGCAAGCACTCTTTAAAGAAGTAGTACATAATATTGGGAAATGTGCTTTTTTTCTGTTGCCTGAAGTTGAACAAGTAGATCTATACCACTTTAATATGTGTCTGTGCAATATGTGCCCAGGGTTACACCCTCTATCGTCCACATCCTGCCCTCTTACTTTCCCCTTACCAATCTCTTTCATCTTGTCTGCCCGCAACAGATGAAATCTGTCCAGGCAAGTTGTTTTCCTTCTGTTTCAACCCATCATGCTAAACCAAGCTAAGCGGATGCTGGCTCCAACCTCATATTGAACAACAGATAGGCATGAATAAGTTCAATATTTAGAAGAATGGAGTATGTTTCCTAAGTTAAACCATAGACTGTAAGGTTTAAACCTGGGAATGAATAAGAACCAAGAATATTTGTTATCTTAGGGCATAAAGCACAGTTGTTAAGTCATCAAAGGATGTTATTGGCTGCCAAGAAGCAAGATATCTTCAGCTGGTTTTTTATGAGCCCACTGCCAGTAAAAAGTTATTTCAACCCAATTAAGCTATACCATTTTTTTCCTTCTTTGTTTCCGCACCATCGTCCTACACATGCTGAAAACTTTTCATGATGTATACGAGGAAAAGTGCTAACAGGGAAGCAGCCAGATAGATCAAAATAATAGCCAATCAATGTTTAAACTATAAAAATATAGTTGCTACAGTAGACAGGAAGTAGAAAGGTAAACAGACAAAGATACTTAGAATGATTCTAACCATCTCTAGAAGGTGCATAATATATGGATGTACAAAATCATAAATGAAAACCTGCAAGAGAACCATGACTGTAAGACTAACAAGAAAAATATTTGTGAGAAAAACATTTTATCATGTGGAGAGAAATATGGTTATAGAAAGCAGAAAGACAGAAAGAGCTAAGGGAAAAAGGGGGCAAGTTTGTCGTAACACTGAAATCTCACAGTCCTGCACCCCTCCTGTACTCTGCCCCCTTCCCAAATTTGCTGGACCTGATATGGGGATACATTAGGTTAGCGCTGGAGGTCCCAATGCGGCTATTACCTGACTAACTCAACACTGTAGCACTGCCAGCCAGACATACACAGCCTCTGCACCGCACAGAGCCGCCTCTGTTCGGAGGACCCGGCCAACGCTGGACTTACTGTTCATGTCCTGGCCCGGACAGAGAGTGTGTGTGTGTGTGTGCGTGCGTGCGTGCGTGCGTGCGTGCGTGCGTGCGTGCGTGCGTGCGTGTGCGAGACGTGCTGGGTTTTGAATTAACTTTTGACGGCTGTTTGGCCAGACTAATTAACTGATTTCAATTTGTTTTTATTAGGCAAGTTGTGTCTTAACTGTAAAGAGGCCTCCTTACTGATACAACATTACCTGGGGAAGAAAAGTGTTATGCAAATGTGTCAATGATATAAATCTCAGTGTTTCCCTTTCATTTTGACAAATGTGATTCACAAGCTTCACTTTTTTCCTACATCTGCTCACCATGTTGTTGATATGTGGGAGAAGTTGCTGGAGGTAATCCTTCAGTCTGCTCATGTGCAGGCAGGTGTCTTTCAGAGTGTCGGGCCTGTCAGCCTGGCCCCAAGCCACTGCTTTGTCAAGCCAGAACTGCAGCGCCGGGACGTCCAACAGGGGCTGGGTCCGCTGCTGCAGCTGAGACATTGTGCTGCTTTCCAATGGACTCAGGTCATATGTAAGAATCCTAAGTAAGAATAGGAAAAAAAAAAACTATTATTTTAATATCTCTCCTTAATCATTTTTAGTTTGTGGGTATGAGGGGTTCTGCAATGTCAAAATGTTAACATGGTGATCTTAGCATTTGAAGATGAAATTAACACAGTGCTGCTAAAGTGATGGTTGTGTGATAAATAGTAGCCGATAAGTCTTTATAAACAGTTTACACCCCATTAATATATTATTTAAGTACAATAATTGTAGGTATACTGGTGACATAAATGTACACAGTCATCAATCAGCAGTTAAAACTTTTATATGAAATAAAATAAAGTCTATTGAATATGCATTAAATGTGTCGTAACTTGTTACCATAAATAAAGAAAAAGATGTGTATCAAACAATTGCTTGTACTTTATGTGTGACTTATAATTAAATGTAACACTTGGAATGTTTATAAAGGTGCAGTGAATGCAAATACCCTCCAAAATAAATAATGTTCTATTGACAATCTCTTTGTTCCACTTCAAAAACATATATTTAGAAAATAACATCAGTCTAATACACCTGCCTGCCCATGTATTTAGTTGTGCACTAATGTATAATGTGCATGTGTGGCCCACATCATTCCCCCATTTTCTATTAGAGCAGGAATGGATAATACAATAATAATTGGCAGTAATGTGTGGTAAAATATATTCAGGCATATTATGTTAATCTAGTGTTAAACTCTCATAACCACAGTCTAACGATCAAATTTCAAACACACACACACATTCACACACACACACACACTCATGGAAGCCTACTGAGAAATAAACAGCACATTCTTCACCTTTTATGATGATGGAGGGAAAAACATGGGGGGCAGAACACAAGTGTGTGTATTAGGATGTGTTTAGAGTGTGTATGTAGCCTGGGAATAGGGTGCGTGAGTGTGTGTGTTGTTGTTTTTGCCATAATGACAGGCCTGTGTGAGACACCACAGGGTTGTGTTTTATGATCACCTCGTTACACACGATTTGTTTAATGTCTTGCCATCATCTCTGCTGGGAAGCCACTATGGCTCGCTGATGTGAATATATAAATACTCATTTTTGGGAAGAAAAAAAAAGCTAAACCGAATTAGGAACAAACGCCTCTTGTTGACTTGTGTCGGGGGCTCAGGTTTTAGTGAAGCAGAGGAGGAAATTAACCATATGCCAACAGTCACCCACAAACTCTATCACACAGAGACAGCTACATGAAAACATAGGCATATATTGTGATTACAAAACGTGTTTGTCTCAAATGGATGTCATTTAGTCAATAAAATACACACCTGCACATATACTGTACACTCTCAACAGCAGCTCTTGGACTTGTTAAACACTTTTGAGCAGAAACGAGATGTGAAGGGTCAAATATTATCTTTGAAGACCTGTTAAACTAAGCTTGTGGACTTTGGGTAAGAGTATGTTTGCGGTTTCAATTAGGAGATTAAGTTAAACATCACTTTAAACAAATGTACTTCTGTGTGCTTCAATATGATATATTTAAGAACACCTGGATTACATGAAAGTTGTTTAAAGTGTGTCTTACTAAGAGTCACACATAAAAGGAACAGTTTTGCTTAAAGGTGGCCGTATGTAATTTATTTCAGAAACACTTTTTGATATATTCCATGGAATGTTCTTATTAACATCCCGATAGCAATGAATATATGAAATGCTTTGACAATAAATACATAAAAAAATGTCATCTGTGGAAGCCGTGGTGCTGTAAAAAGCACGACCAATCATTTTAGCCGGCCCGGCAAAATATGTCACATGACCACTTGCAACCACTCATCAAAACACACCTGATTTAGTCGAGAAACTACTCACTAAGACTTGTGTTTTATAAATATATATGTTCAACATTCGATCAATTCAAACCAAATAGTATTACACTTGAAACATTTTAAACATCTATTTTTATTGATTTTTAATAAACTTTCTATTGCTTTTCTATACTGAAAAGTCTTGATTGTGTTCATATAATGTGACCTAATGACTCCAAATCAATACAGCCATGTATCACTACATTGGAGAAGTACGAGACGAACATTTTTTTTTTAAATAGTGTTTGTCCACCTTTCATTTTATATGAATATTTAAAATGAAATGTGGTATATTGTTTGTTGAAAAGTCTGATTTATTTTCTATAGCTTACATGAGATGTGAACAAATGAATTTGAAGCCATCATAATCAGATATCATTCTAACTACAATGGGCAAAAAAGACAAAACTCTTTTTTTGGTGGATTTTAGTCCACCTTGTATTTTATACAAACGTTATAATTAAAATTCAAGAGTTATTAAAAGGTCTCAATTTTGTATGCCTTTCGTGTCATCCGACCATAGAGCACCCGACCCAGTAACTCCAACCTAATGCAAAATCATTTGTATGGGCTTTAAGAGCTTGAAAAAAACACAAATTGCTCCTTTTACCCGGGAGTTTCCTACAACACAAACTCACCTACGTTAAATGTTGGAGTGCAACAACTACCCAACACCACAGGATGCCAGTGTTCGCCCCACTCTACTGCAGTGACACATAGTTCATTTGAAGATTCGAAATAAGTTCAATATACAACTGCTAGACCACGTCTTGCAAACTCAAGTTAGGATTGAATGATTAGATCACAAGGAAATGTATTTGCATTCTCCTTATTAGCAACCTGTATGTCAGCTGTTAGCTTGTTAGCAATTGCATTACTCTAGTCGTATTCGTTAGCTACTTTAGCTTGAAATAGACTTACATGCAAACAAGACTTACACTCATCAAACTGAAATCTCCACAGAGCAGACGTTTAGTTAATCCATTTGTGTCTAGTCTTCAGACAGGTTTCTTCTTGCGATGTAAACAAACTGAACTTCCCTCTTCTCTCGGAGTTCCGTGTAAGGAGGAAGACTATTGGCTGTGATTCACTTCCTCGCACTCGTCCTCCTGGCAGTGCATGCTGGGAAATTGAGTCACATGGCTGAACAGCAAGAACGTTATCAGAATACAGAATACCTTTATTCGTCCCATAAAGGGGAAATTGACATTGTATCATTATTATACAAGATAATATAGGCATTGACAATATAGATAGAGGTGCTTGTTTTCTTATATGTGTGAGTAAGAAAGCACCTTTTAAAACAGGGTTAGGGTTATGATAATGGTTAGAGTTAGGGTTATGTAAGTATATGCATTTAATCTTTTCCTTCTTACAAAATGTAAACCTTTTTGCCTATACAGTATAGGTGCTTATGTACTTAGCTGTTGAAGTAAGATAGCTCATTTTAAAACAAATCTGTTTCACAGGATACCAATACAGAAAAATAAGATACAAATACAATTATAAAAAGAAAGGAGAAGCACACATAACCAGGACACGAAAAGTGAGGCCACAAGATAGGGAAATAACGTTTATGGGAACGTTTTAGAAACAGTTTAAAGACTTATCTTGAAAAGAGGGAAGAGAACGGGGG